ATTTAAATACCTTAGCCACGGTAGCAGATACTTGTATCCTTTTGAATCATTCTATGAACTTTTTACTGTATGGCTTAACGGGACAACGATTTAGAGAAAAGTTTGCATCGATTGTTTGTTTACGACGTTTATTTAAGAAGTGACAACGAACAGATAGTCATTAAACAGCCACAAATTTACAACTGAACATTTGCAGATAATTTACTGATGTTTTGACTTGAACAAAAACAGTCAATGCAGTGCATAGTTACATCTTCTTTTTTTTAATTAAAGATGCAAAATTGATCAGATATTCAAGGTCATTTGCGAAATAGTCTGGGAAGGATAGAAAGAAATCCGCAAAAAAACCCGGTATCAGAGCAAAAGCTGAATTTCAGACATATCGGAATTCAAAGTCAACATGGAAAAGAAACTTCACAACCAGCCTTGCTCATATAACATTGGCCTGCTTTTAAATAGGGAAATATTTGGTTGGATTACATGAACATGTCATGAACGTTTCCACAGTTATAATTTGAAAAAGAATAACTTCTACAGTTGCGGGAACGCACAACGTACCAAAAATAGCGTGCGCACATCGTGCATACATCATGCAAACACCGTCCGCACATCTTCCACACATGGGGTGCACAACTGTGCGATTTAACAATCGTTCGCCCCGCTATACGCTTCTCTCCGCACACATGTGCGATTTGGTAGAATTGGTTGATCAATATTACGGAATGAAACAAATCGGTAGTCCTCGTATAAAATAAAGAACACTGTATATAATAATTGCTCATAGAAATAATTAGAATTATGTTTAATTGTACAATGCGTGTTACACAGCATGACATTGACCGTTAGACTGTGACGAATAGGTTTAGCTCCCAGGTAACAGAACAGATAAATAACATTTTGATGATTGACCGAAGTTTTACCTGGCCTGTGCCTGACAAAGAGAGATGATATGTGATACCGTATGACCGTTATGAAAACACAACTGGACGTTACGTATTTGTTCTTCGCATTATTTTTGGTCTATATCACCCCTTCACCTGTATTTTCACACCTAGGCGGGTTACGAAAATATCCCGGATGGGGGAAACTACGGTCCAGGTACAGGTACAAATTGGCTATGTTTACCTGCATACGTGACCGTGGCAATACATGTATGTGTTATTTTACATGTGTCGGTTTGGGTTGTTTAAAAACACCAAAAAACACAATTTCTAAATTTACGACAATGAAGATACAAAGATCAGCGTAAATATGTACCTAGAATTTAGAACTATACTTAAAAATCAAGTTTATATGTTTAAACACGAAGCCGCATTTATTGTTAAGCCATTTCTTAATTTACACCAACCACGATTATCATCGTACAACGTTCGTCCATCGTCCGCACAAATGTGCGCAAGCAATAATCGTCCAGATTTTAATCGTTCGCACACCGTGCACACATTTTGCACACTCCGTGCACATATCGCGCGCACAACGCGCGCACACCGCACATCGTGTAACGTTGTGCGTTCCCACAATTGTACAAGATATACAAGATTCATATAGTTTCCGTTACATTATTTACGAACATTATAGGAACTGATGCGTTTATTAAATGGTAACAACAATAACACTCCCTTAATTGGAAGTTTTTGATCTTATGTATAAACACATATTTTTTCTTAAGCCTATTCCTATGTTTTAAAGAATAGATAATAGAAACTCGTATTGTGTTTTCATACTTTTACTTCAGATACAAATTTGAACTTTCCATGTTGTTACTCCGTATTATAAATTTTGTCCAAATTAACGACACGATACTACAAATATATCTGCAACAAGGAAAAAAACATAAAAAAAGAAATTAGCGCAATAACAACAGCTTCTTAAACAACATTTATAAAGAGAAGCGAAGGAATGAGAAGACGTTCAGTTCTAAACCTGTTGACATGCTGATTTACTACACTTTTCATATAAATATGTGTCCTCACGATAAACAATGTTTTACCGGAAAGCAGATTTAGATATATGTTGTTATGGTGAAATGCCTTACCAGAATGTAGGTTTACAAATGTGTTATTGTCGGGAAATGTATTACCAGAATATCGATTTAGATATATGTTATTATAGGGAAATGTTATACCGACATAAACGTTTATATATATGTTGTTATGATGAAATGTATTACCAAAATATCGATTTAGATATATGTTATTATAGGGAAATGTTATACAAGAATAAACGTTTATATATATGTTGTTATGGTGAAATGTATTACTAGAATATAGATTTAGATATATGTTATTTTGGGAAATGTTATACCAGAATAAACGTTTAGATATGTGTTGCTATGGTGAAATGCTTTACCAGAATATATACATAAATATGTGTTGTTATAAAGAAAAGTTTGACTACAGTAAATATAAAAAACCAAATGTATTGATGAAATGATTGTATTGTTTTGATTTGATGTTTTACTAGAATATCTTTTAAGAAAATGCGGTTTTGACAATAGAAAATGTATACCAGAGATAATATATAAATATATTTTTATTGTTGCAATTTGACTTAAATATCTAATTAGTAAACAATAATTATTTTTGTTTGTGATGAAATGTTTGCAAGGATACAATGACAAATTTGTGTTGATATGTGATGCCGTACTAAAGGGATTATTTAAATAAAGGTTTTATTGATATGTGATGGAGTACAAGCGTAATTATTTAAATATAAGTGTTAACTGATTATTATTTAATACAAGTTTTGTTGACATGTGATATTGTACTAGAGTAAATATGTCAATAAATGTGTTGCTAGTATGTGATGCTGTACTAGAGTCATAATTTAAATAAAGGTGTTGTTGATATGTGATGGTTTACTAGAGTAATTACTTAAATAAAAGGTGTTGCTGATATGTGATGCTGTACTAGAGTGATTATTTAAATAAAGGTGTTCTTGATTTGTGATGGTTTACTAGAGTGATTGTTGAAATAAAGGTGTTGTTGATTAGATATATGATGCCGTACTAGAGTATTTACCTAAATAAAGGTGTTATTGGGCACTGTTTAATCCCGGTTATCAGTTATTGAATGTGAGGTTAAAAGATAGAAGATAATGCTGTAATTAATATTAAAAAACAATGTTCATTCTTTGAAAACGTTTAATTTTTCGCTTCTTTAAACGATCATGGTGTATGTCAAATTGTGGAAACGTCTTCGTTTTCCTATATTAATTATTTTTTATCAAGAAAGGCTAATGACAACACAATCACTGGACCAAAACTACTTTTAAGCGTTTACAAATGCAAAGATACAATATACTGGAGGGAATAATTCCCAAACCTTGGTTGACAAAAGTAAATACAGTACTTATATCTCAGCAGTCCTTGGCAAAATGATCAAAAATCAACGAGCCACTAGTTGAAAATGTATATCTGTGAAACAAAAAGTAAAGCAGACAGAAAGATGCATTCGTGATGTGGCCATATTTCTTAAAGACCCTTGATATTTTACAAGCAAACCATTAGAGAACTCAATCGTAGTTTTTCATTAATTACATAAGATCGTCCACACTTCATTCAGGCCAAAACATTATCTCGACTGGACATATTACTACAACTGACCTGGTAGCAGATTCACCTTTCAGGGTTCTAAACTTGATCTGGCCATGTCGCATTGTTTCACCTGGAGCACTGTTGCTGAGCTAGTGCCATTTTGTTTTCAAATAAAATTCAACTTAGTTAAGTATTCTTTACAGGAAAGATATTTACAAAGTCGTTAAACCCTTTTTTATGCATAGAAAAGTATTTGACAGTGATGCGGGAACCCAAAAAACAATCAAAGAGATGCACAGACGAATGTTATTGACCTAACCATATTTTCTAACGACCCCTTTTTAAATTGAGCAACATAATTGAAAACGAAATATCTGGCAAATTTAGACATTTCTTTTAAATAAATCTGAACAGGATTAAGTAATATCTTAAGAGTATTGATTATTCTACAAAGAGTATTTAATCGAATTAAATTAAAATAAAAAAAATATTGTTAGGAGTACGAGAAACTATTTTTCATACGGATTATGTTTAAATGTAAAATAACATTTTTTCAAGGCCATGTGTATGTCACTGATGCGTTCTGTTTCATCGACATATACGTCAAAGTACTTGTGGTATGATTTTAAGGAGTAAGCTTGTTAATAAAATGTATTGAAAATGTATACATTTGTAATAAACATTATGGTCCTTTGTGAAGCAAATTCTTTCATTTCAAAAATGAAATGTATACGAATATTCTTCAAGTTTTGTGACCAATCAAAATTTTCTAAATTCACTAAATAGAAGTATCGCTTTTAGAAATATACAAAGAACGTTACTGACAACTGGCAGTTACTGTATTTAATTGAGTAAAACATGTATACAATGAGTTTGTACACAAAGAGTGTTTTCTCAGCCAGTCTTTCCATGTTGATACAATTTTCGTTTTCCATTGGTACAGTTTCATCGACATGTTAAATAGTAACTGAAGTTCTATCAACGAGGCCAGGAATTATACTTTTTGTACATCAAAAGCATACACAATATATTGCATGCATCATGATATTAAAAAAAAAAAAATGCAAGTGCAAAATAACAGATTCCGATTCCACCCAGAAAATAATCAGGAAAATCCAAAGCCTCTGATTGACTAACACTATTGCGATTTATCAATCCAAATGTTTCATCCCAAATTGTCTTCATTCCTGGCTTTTATTGCATGCATCATAATATTCAAAGATGGCTTACTGTAAAATGATATATCTTAAGTATCATTAGCACATCTCTAGTTTTGCACAGCTGCATTTGCGAAACCGATATACACTGCTTTATTCCAATTCCTTCACTACTGACGTTACTTATGGTATTTGTGGCTTTAATTGACGAAACTAACTAATAGTGATATATATCCTTGTGTGTTTCCTTGATGGCTTAAAACCAGATAATGTTATGCGAGTTATTTCCCTTTAAAAGGAATCGTTCAGATTATAAACGAGGAAGTAACGTGACAAGGCGAATATGTGTTGTTTGTTTAATCAGAACATACACTTATCTATAGGTTAGTGCTTCACACAGTCATAGTTTAAACCTATCTACAGGTAAATGTTTGTTTAACTTAGAAATACAATGTCAATGTCCCGTGATATCTTTGTTTATCTTGCTAGCATCATAATGTGTATATGTTTACATTGAATGGCGGTGTCTCATTTTAAATACAATTATATCCGGGTTTCAAAGCTTCATGTTATACCGACTTAAAATTCTCGACGTAATTTTATAAGAAATAAGAACAATCGGTGAGAAGATGATCCATTTGTCAATTCTTAAAATTTATCTCAGATTTCCATGTATCATAAGATTCAGTGTGATCCGCACACGATAAGACATTTACTGTATAAATTTATGATAAAGAATATGCAGTTATAAAAACCAGGTGTTCAGTATTAAAAGATAGTGTGTATCACTTTACTGTGGATGGCAGGTCAAAAACTGGAACGAAGTAACTAAAGTATAATTTTATGTTAAACTCTTACAGATGACATTCGTTGTTGAAATAGCATTTCCTGTATAACTTAATCATAGGTTGTTGCGAACATTGTAGGATTATCACAAAGATGTGTGATACGATTATAGTGGTACGAATATATTGTGAATGAATCTATTTATAGAGACGTACATGTAGCTACATGATTCGTCAATAGTGTAAACAACAGGTAGTGTTTTGTTCCTTTTGTGTATCTTTTGTGTCTTGATTTTATCGGAATTGGGATCGGCTCGAGGTGCAAACAATACCTGGCCCGGTCCTGTGTATATTTGTTCCACTTAGAACGTCTTTGATTTTGACATCTGATCTTTATATTCTTTTGTAATAGTCACGCACGGTATGATGTCTTTTCTAACAATTATTTGTGTTGAACGTTGAACGTAAGAAACACGCACGTGACTACACCAATCAACGATGGGAATAGATACAGTATTCAAAAATGAATGTTATTGCACAATACAGCTGAAATATAGTTTCTGGTGAATCGTTACATTGTTTGGTAGTGGTATTTAGGACCAACCAAGTTATTCATACCCTACGGTATTTCGAAAACTAAGTACTCAACAGCAGTGCAATAACTAATATTAATAAAACTCAGCGCCTAAATACACGGCTTTGCTTTGATGCAAACATGATCAAGCTCAAATTTGACATTCTATAGTAGAAACATCATATAAATCTGTTTAAAATACAAACGTGATATTATCTAATTTCTTAAGTTAGTTCCTGAGTGACACAAACATGTACATTTATTTTATCATCTTATAGTTTTACTATGGCTGCAACGGCTGTTGGAGAACTGCAACCCGGTAAAACAGGATCAATATCACTACCGCCAAACTCTCTTATCAATGGTAAGTATATCCGTTTTCATCAGCAGGAAACAGCAGTATATGACGTTAGTAATCATGTCGCGTTAAGTCGCGATTCTGGTTTAAATCCAATAGGATGTATATCGGCGTCAATATATAGTGTTTTCAAATCACACATTGCACATTTTTAGTTGCACATATTTAATTGACGATTTCGGAAAAAGAAACCGTTTCGGTTCATTTATCTTTATCAATTAAAATTCACTAGACAGATTTTGATAGCTCTTATAACTTATAGGAGCTTGATACGTATCTTTCTGACCACGCGGGGAAAAAAAAGAGAAAAAAAGTAAAACAATTTAAGCATTTGCTTAGTGTACAAGAATTGAGAAATGTCTTTAAGCATCGAAGACAAATACAGCTTGGTTATAGTATTGATACCTCGAGCTCGGTTCATGGTAGTGGGGACGTGTGTAACTACAAATAATGATATGACCCATTACACCTAACATAGTCTAGTCAGGTGGTTGTCATACCATCGTCGAAATTATACCTTTTCTTTCCGCTAATGTATACGATATCAGATTGAATATTATGTATTTACATCCCGCAAACATTTATGCAAATTTAAATCTTGATTTATGATATTGATATTTAATACTAAACCAGTTTTATCAAGGGAAGGTGCATTTAGATGCTTACAAGGCAATTTCAAGTTCACAAATTGGACCATGGTTATGTTGCTTTATGTCACTGTGATGTTTATTATCAACACTTTGCTACTACATGTAGGTAGGTCATTAGGTACCAAAGTTTATTTTTGTTTCCGTTCATTTCACATATCATTTGCGATACTTTTACCACTCAAATATTATTCAATAAACGAAATGATAATACAATATCCAAATAAGTATTTTTGGTATTTTTGATTGATGACATGCAAATTTCCTGCATTCTGAATAGCTCATGCCGTGAGGTAATATCCCAACATTTGCAGGCTTATATGAATTGAAGGTGAGACGGTGTGGAGACAGGAGCACAGATGTGGATATATGTATGTATTTGATGTGTGTTTCAAATTACTTGTATAATATGTTGATGTATGTCTAATATGTATGTCTATGAAATGAAAAAAACATTTGCAGGACACCTGGGGATATATATAACATTATGTAAATGTCTTCAAATAAATAATAATTCTTATTCGCTGCGATCGATACAATGGGGATATTAAAACATTTTTCGGGTTGGTAAATTACAATGTTCTACCTAAAGGGAGATTAAACATAACTAAGCATGTCATTGCATCGATTATAAATCGAAATCAGATTTACACAGGAATACAGGAATATGATACTAATTAAAGCTCAGTTCGCTGTTTCGTGTATCTTCCATTTGTCCCCAAATACAGTTTTTGTCTATCATAACAAGGTAGATACACCAGTTCTTTGAAATATAAATCTCGAACAAAATACGAAATAATGCAGTTTTGTTTATCTTTCTTTAGACCAATTGCGAAGACTTGCTATGGAAATGAGAGTCATTGTGATCGGGAAGACAGGGTCTGGGAAAAGCTCTCCTGGGAACACTAGTTTAGGAGGAGCACCATTCATTTCGCAACCAGGAGGTACTTCCGGCACGAGAAACTGTTCTTTTTCTAGGGCATGCGTACATATTATGTAGTCACGTATATATACTGAACAAAAAAAAGAAACGAACAATTAAATTATGCAATCAATAGCCTATGATATTTTGGGAATCTTGTACAAAATTTTATATCAATATGAAGGGACAAGTCTATTTGGATAGATTTCATTCAACAGCAAGTAGCGGTTCCTTTACACCTTGTTTGTTTCTCACGTGTTACAAAATATGTCATTTGGTCTTATATAAGTACACCAATGACAAAAAAAGGATTACATTGTTTCCTTCTCTTTATACACTTGCCTGCCGGCTTATTCATTCGAGTTTCCTCTCATTGATTTATAATACAATATGTTTGTAACCAGGTGTGAGCGTACGCGTCCCCATGTACGCGTATGTACGTGCATGGTGAGCGAGACGCGCATGCGCGAGATATTTACCTGTCCCCGCACCTGTATACTTGGCGTGACTCGTTGATACGACACCTCACAGAGCAGACGTATTACCCTTCACTGATCCCTGCTGTCTCCTGGTAAGTCATTGTAGATATCATTACTCATATTTCACAATGTCTATTTCATATGTATTCCATTTCTCATTTATACATTTATACACAAATTTCACCCTTTTCAGGGGAAGATAAAAAGGGAGATGTGACATATATAGAATGGAGACACGACATTGTCGCTTTAATCGACGATTCTGAAATGTCCACCAATAAAGTAGAACAGGCCATTCGCCGTTCATTACGAGATAAATGCTAAACGCATGATATCGATAGGGGAGAAGCTTACCCCTAAGCAAATGCTCTCTAAACTGGATACGCATTATCGCGATATTTCAACTCACGGCATGATCATGCAGGAATTTTTCAACTGTGTTAAAAAGCCAGGTGAGTCAGTAACTAATTATGGTTGCCGGTTAGAAACGCTATTGCAGTGTGCTATAGAAAATAAATCACCGGATCCAGCAGCAAAGAATGGTATGATGTGCGACAAATTCTGGAATGCTTTGCATTGTGAGAAGTTGAAAAGCCAAACAAGGCACAAATTTGATAGTGTTAAAGATTATGACACGCTATTAAAAGAGATACGAATTGTAGAAAAGGAACTTACTATTTCTTCTACTGCAACTTCTAAAAAAGCACATCACAACGCAGCATCTTGTGATAAGACAGTGATTCACCGAGTCTTGAAAAAAACATTTGACTCCAAGCTCAAAAAGTTGGAGGACAAATTATCAAACAAAATAGACTCAAAGTTTGATCAGATTTGGAGTAAACTCGACTCTCAAGGCCAAAGTCAAGGTCAAGGCCAAAATCAAGGTCATGGTCAAGGTCATGGTCAAGGTCAACATCAAGGTCAAGGCCGTGGTAGGAATCAAGGTCAACGTCAGAATCGTGGATTTCAGAAAGGTCGAGGTCGAGGAAGGTCAGGTCAAGGGTCGGACAACTCCCAATCAGGGAGTTCCCCAAACTGGTTACGGCCTCTGATTGTGGCCAAACAGGGGTCGATCACATTACTTTAAACGGCTAAGATCAAGAGATTTTACATAGACTATTAGGACAGTCAAATACTGGACAAATTATTGTTCAAGGTCAAAAGGTCAATGCACTTATAGACAGTGGTTCACAAATGTCTACAATGACCAAGTCATTTTATGATTCACTTGTGGATAAACCAGAAATTTGTGACTTAAGTATGCTAGATCTTGAAGTTACTGTAGCTAATGGTTCTATCTTACCATCTATCAACATACCATTTCAGCGGGCTGTAGATGTAAACGTCCTTATGTTAGTTGTGCCCGACACAGTACAGAATAAAACTTGTCCTGTTATTGTAGGTACAAACGTAATACGTTTTGCCCGGGAAATGAGATCTAATGATAGTAGTATCCCACCGGACATAAATAGCATTAGTTCCTCATATGTCGTACATTCGGTACGAAAAATTTCTATTAAGGTGGCACCGTATGCCACAACAATTGTCAATGGGATCGTCCGAGGTCTCAATCCGGAGATTACTGACTTAGTCACTGAGAACCGTAACACACCAGGTCAGTGTTACACTGTTTGTCCTCGATTGGTCAAGGTCAAAGGTCAAGCGGCTTGTGTCAAAGTTCCCGTCAAACTTTGTAATATAGGCTGTAGTGGTTGATAATCTTGCTTCAAATGGGACACCAAGTGCAAATGCTGAAGTCACTCAGCCATTGCCGAAAGAGCTTGATGTACACATAGACACTACCACTTTGACTGAGGATCAATTGTTACTGGTTCGTCAGGTGCTCGGGAACTGGGTTCAAGCATTTTCATTAAGTCCTTTTGACTTGGGACAGACGGACTTGGTCAAACATAAGATCACCCTCACAGACGATAAGCCATTTAAGCAAGCTTATCGAAAAGTACCTATGGGTATGTATGAGGAAGTACGTCAGCATGTCAAGGATATGCTTGAGGCAGGTGTTATAGGAGAATCAAAAAGTCCTTATTCTAGTAATATTGTGTTAATACGCAAAAAGGACGGCTCACTCAGGTTTTGCATTGATTGTCGGATGTTAAACGCTAAAACCCGAAAAGATGCTAACATGTTGCCTAGATTCGACGACACAGTCGATACTCTAATTGGGTCAAAGTATTTTTCCAAGCTGGATTTACGCTCAGGGTACTGGTAGGTTGAGGTCGAAGAATCAGACCGGAAGAAGACAGCCTTTTCTGTCGGAAACCTGGGTTTCTACGAAACCAATCGCATGGGGTTCGATTTAACCTCTGCCCCCGCAACCTTCCAGCGCCTCATGTAAAAATGCATGGGCGACATGCACCTGAAAGAATGCTTGATATTCTTGGATGACATTCTGATCCATTCTCGAACTTTCGATAAACATATCGGTAGACTGGAATCTGTGTTTGCCAGACTCGTTCAACATGGCTTAAAGATTAAACCTTCCAAATGCGAGTTCTTTAAAAAGTCCATAACATATCTCGGTCATGTTGTTTCAGAGCAAGGTATTGCGACCGATCCTGAAAAGGTTTCGGCTGTAAAAAAATGGCCTAGGCCTACCAACGTCAAACAGGTACGTCAGTTTTTAGGTTTTTGCGGCTATTACAGGCGTTTTGTGCGAGATTTTTAAAAAAAATAGTACAACCGCTAAATGAGTTGCTACAGGGTCATGACTTAACCAAAAAGTCACCTGTGAAATCTATGAAAAAGTCCAGGCCGAAACAAAAAGCTGAGTGGATCTGGGGAGGTGCTCAACAAAAGGCTTTTGAGACTATAAAATCCAAACTGACACAACCTCCTGTATTGTCTTATGCTGATTATACCAAACCTTTTGTCCTGCACACTGATGCATGTTCTACCGGTCTCGGTGGAATTCTGTATCAGGTTCAGAATAAACAGGAAAAGGTCATTGCATATGCTAGTCGTGGGCTTAGACCAAGTGAGCGAAATTACCCTGCTCATAAGCTTGAGTTTCTAGTACTTAAATGGGCGGTAACAGACTAGTTTCATGACTACCTCTATGGTAACACATTTGGGGTAGTCACTGACAACAACCCGCTAACTTATGTGCTGGGTAAGGCCAAGCTTGATGCCACTGGGCAAAGATGGGTTGCCGCTCTGGCTAATTACAACTTTACTCTGAAATACTGAGCTGGGCGTGACAATATCGATGCAGATGCTCTCTCTCGTTTACATGATGTCAATTCTGATGGTGTTAAAGCTATCTGTCAGTCGGTTACTGTTGATGCTATCCTTCCAGAGGGTGTTGTCACCGACTGTGCCGCCCACATGGCCAGTGGGTGTGCACAGGCGGTTGACAGCTTCAGCACAGTAGACTGGCAGAGAGAACAATCAGAAAATC